AAAACCCCAAAACCCCAAAACCCCTCGATTGAATATTAAAATTAAACATTAAAATATCATAAAAATTAATTATTTTCAAGTAGAAATGGAGTATAATTTGAACAATAACGAGACCTATGGCACTATGGTAGAGACTTATCATCCAATGAAATCATTTGATGAGAATTTCTAAGCTGTATCTGCAGATACAGTAGTTATGGCTCTCCTATACTGCCAAAATCATTTACCACCAACTGCGACTGTTGAAGATTGCATCAGAAAGTATCAAGAACTAAAGATACAAGAGATTGAGGAAATTGGAAAATTATTTGAGACTAAGTATAAAGAGCAACTTAACTAAATAGAGTAATTTATTCTGGGAGAATAACCGAAATCCCCAACAAATACCAAAGAGTAGCAATATTGAGGCTATTAATTTTGCTTGAGGAATGAACATAATATAAATTAACTTTGAATTGGCTGTAAATTTGTTTGAATTTAAATTTTAACTTAAAAAGGTTTATTTATAATATAAATTATCTCTAAATGGACTCAAACAACTATTTGATTAGAAGATGTTATCGTAGATTATGTATTTGGGGTAAAAAGACACCTATAGAATATTAAAAACCTTATGAGGGGGGACCTACTCCGTTGCTCAAATCCCCTTAACGAAGATTCTATGTTGTTTTTACTGTCATTAATTTGCTGTTGTTTATCGTTCTATTTGTAATGTATATCGTCTAATTCAGAGTGTAAGCTGACTCTACTCCAGATTGCGTGAGACTTGATTCTATCTATATACAAGTCATTGTCTTTGCAGGAGTCAATACAATTTGGTATGTATAGCTTGCAAGAATAGATTACCTTTCGGATTAAGAGTGGTCTAAGTTTATGACATTCACTGCAATTGATATTCTAGCACAACTTGTATCAGTGATCGTAACAATGTACTTTACAGTTGTGAGATATAATGATGCACATGATTAAGATTGCTTTGACTAAAATTTAGCTCTATTTGTTTAGATATTTGTGGTAATAGGATTTAATGCTATCATTCTAGTGATATAGACTATTGCAATTATAACCCTAACCATATAATTATTTGGTCATCCTCAAAAGTTTTTCTACTTCAGAGAGGAAAAAGATGTTAAAATTAGAATGTGAAATTAAATAATTTCCTATATTTATTGAATTCAATAAATTCATTACATTAGGGGTTTTGGGGTTTTGGGGTTTTGGGG